CCTGGCCGGGGTTGGTTGGGTCAGGTGACTCTAGTCTATACCCCCCCTGGCCGGATTTGGGTGGGTCAGGTGACTCTGGTCTATACCCCCCTGGGGTCTCCTGGTCGAGCATGCTCAGAGGACGATGTATCAGCTGGGATGGATATCACCATTCTCCTCTATAGGACAAATCATGTGTATGTCGGGGGAGGGGAGGTGGCGGGGGGTCCTGCCAGCACCATACATTTCATTCCTCTCTTTTTGTGGGACAAAAGTTTACTACCTTGTTGTTCCCCACTATTTTTATTGTTATTATTCTGCCTTGATTTCGGTCGTCCGTTGTTAGTTATACTTACATGTGCCAACGGATTTCCTATATTGACTGGAGTGAGCCCACTATTATTAACTCCTTTTTTACTACTTTCTGTGTTATTTTTACCTATGATTAAATTATCTTCGTTTAGTTTAAGTAATTTTATTTTTATACCCTCCCCCCCACTTTCTAGTTTAAAAGCTCCTCCAGTCTTTCTACCATTTTCCCCCCCAGGAATGCTGCACCTTTCCCATAAGATGCATAGACTTCCCCTACATGTTCTATACACTTCCCACACACGTCACGTACATGTCCCACACACATCGCGTACACGTCCCATAGACTTCCCCTACATGTTCTATACACTTCCCACACACGTCACGTACACTTCCCACACACATCCCGTACGCGTCCCATAGACTTCCCCTACATGTTCTATACACTTCCCACACACGGCCCATCGGTGTCCCATACACATCCCACACACATCCCGTCCTCCAACATTCACCGAGTGCGCGGATTGCTCTATGTCCATGTTCTCGCAGTGTGAACTGTCTGTGCTGCGTGAGGTCTCACCGGTGGAATTCTTCGCCACGTCCTTGTCTTCAGTTTCCTTATTTACGAATTCTTCATCTTTCGCTGCTAAATAAGAGAAAAGAAAGATAAGCGGACGGCAATGTGAAAAACTACCGACAAATGACCAACATCGTGCCCCTAGACCGCGGAGAACGCCCCCCTCCCCCACCTGGACGAACCAAATGACTGATTATATGTCTGTGGCCCTCCAGAGTCTCCTGGCCGGGTCACATGGGTCTGGTCTATACCCCCCTGGCCGGGTTTGGTTGGGTCACATGGATCTGGTCTATACCCCCCCCTGGCCGGGTTTGGTTGGGTCAGGTGACTCTGGTCTATACCCCCCTGGCCGGGTTTGGTTGGGTCAGGTGACTCTGGTCTATACCCCCCTGGCCGGGTTTGGTTGGGTCAGGTGACTCTGGTCTATACCCCCCTGGCTGGGTTTGGTTGGGTCACATGGATCTGTTCTATACCGACCCTGGCTGGGTTTGGTTGGGTCAGGTGACTCTGGTCTATACCCCCCTGGCTGGGTTTGGTTGGGTCACATGACTCTGGTCTATACCCCCCCTGGCCGGATTTGGGTGGGTCAGGTGACTCTGGTCTATACCCCCCCTGGCTGGGTTTGGTTGGGTCAGGTGACTCTGGTCTATACCCCCCTGGACGGGTTTGGTTGGGTCAGGTGACTTTGGTCTATACACCCCCCCTGGCCGGGGTTGGTTGGGTCAGGTGACTCTAGTCTATACCCCCCCTGGCCGGATTTGGGTGGGTCAGGTGACTCTGGTCTATACCCCCCTGGGGTCTCCTGGTCGAGCATGCTCAGAGGACGATGTATCAGCTGGGATGGATATCACCATTCTCCTCTATAGGACAAATCATGTGTATGTCGGGGGAGGGGAGGTGGCGGGGGGTCCTGCCAGCACCACCCTGTGCCCCCCCCCTCCCCATCTCCGGGTTTCTAGTATTAAACGGGATTTTTCTGGACGGATTAAACTTTTATTTGGTGTCAGATTCGGATATTTCGATTCTTATTTCGATGTTCGCGCAGTGAACGCAAATGTCACCCAGATCCTCCGACGTCATTGCGACCCGGGGAGGAGGATCCGTCATTTTAGGATACACAGAGATACAATGTATCATTCTTATTGTTCTTCATCGGGGGATGGGATGAGGACAATGCTGAGCGGATCCAGAACCCGCAGCAAATCCGGAAACTTCCAGCGATCCATTGCTGATCCCTATGGTCTAGTGCAGGGGTAGGCAACCTTGACTCTCCAGCTGCGCTGAAACTACAAATCCCATCATGCTTCTGCTTCGGGGAGTCATGCCTGTGGCTTGCAATGCCTTATGGGATTTGTAGTTTCAGCGCAGCAGGAGAGCCGAGGTTGCCTCCCCCTGTACTAGTATAATAGGGACTCCATCCTGCGCTGACAGGAAGTGTCGGGAAGCCGTGACACTGCCAATATAAAATGGCGTCAGGATGCAGCGGCTCTGGTGAGCCCCCTTCCCCCGCGCTGGTTCTGGAATGGCGCTCGCTTTAGGCCCCAGTGCCCGGGGGAGGGGGGGGCCCGAGGTGAACAGCCGCTGTACCTAATGGCGTCCTGATACTGCCCCTGCCCGCAGGAGGAGCACCCCTCCCCCCCAATGGAGGGTAATTAGCATATCCGGCGGGATCTCGCGGACGGAATTCGGCGCGTTTTATAACATTCAATCGTTTTCTCCCAAAACGTCCGGATTTTGGTGAAAAGGAGAAAAACGTTTTCCGTAAAATCGGAGGAAATCCCGCGCGGCGAAAATCGATTATGATCCGCGGTGCCAACTGACTGTGCTGTGCCTGGTGGGCGTCGCCTGTGGAACTCCGCCTACAGGAAGGGTCCGCCTCTTCCTCCTCATTCTTCGGGGACTCTCTGCGCTCTGCTGCTGCGTAAAGAACAAAGAAATTAGAAGCTCCGCCCAGCAGAGTGCCAGACGGACGGATCGGCGGCGGGTTGCCGGAATCTTACTGGGCGCGGCGGCGGCCGAGGATCTGCGCTGTGCCGGCCTCCCCGGCCCGATGGATCGCTTCTCTGGTACATTCCGGAGACGTTTACAATCTGGAGAGCGAGAAGAAGATAAACATAGCGGGGGAGGTGAGACGGCCCTGACCACAAGAGCTTACAATCTAAAGGGATCGGGCGAGAAACACAAATGTATTGGATTGTAAAATGTGAAAACAGGTTTCCCCGCAGTGCAACATTTCAGCCACTAGATGTCCTCGGTCTGCCGCTGTCCTGGACACACCCCCAGCCTCTGATTGGACAGTGAAGGGAGGAGCAGGACAGTGATGAGCTGATCCCTCTGGCACTCTGCTCTCTCTTCCTATCAGCATGCTTCTTGTCTGCACCTGATCTGATTTTGCTGATATTGTTTCCTGTCGGGGGATGGGTTACCTGCGCTGCGGTCTGCGTCGGCGCTCGGCTGTTCCCAGGACACTGGAGCTTTATCTTGGCTGCCGCCTGAGATGAAAACAAACCGCTGATGAGATAAAACAATATGTAACAG